GCCTTTTTAATTTTCTCATAATCTATCCTTAATTTTTAAATTCATGCTTTCTGTGAACATTTATTTAATACTTTATATATATATCCAATGTAGCATATCTCTGGGCTATAGTGGTAAACAAGACACAGTCCTTGTTCTCATGAAGCCTTATGCTATTCTAGTAGGAAAGAGTAGACAGGTATACAATTTAAGATCGTCATCGTACTATAATGAAAAATAAAACAAGGTCATGTAAATGCAAGTGAAGTGAGAAATGAGATAACTTCAGAAAGTGGTCTCAGAATATGAAGAGGGACTATGTGAGAGAGATCAGCCATGCGGAAGGCTAAGGAGGAGTGTGCCAGGAGAGGGACCAGCAAGAGTAACTGGCATGTTAGTGACTAGGCTGGGACCAGAGGTGGAAGTGGAGGGCCATGCAGGGCCTTTGTGGCCAGGGAAAGGGGTTTGGACTTTTTCCTGAGTGTGATGAGAAGCCACTGCAAAGTTTTCAAGCAAGCTTCAGACATACTCTGATTTACATTTTTGAAGGATTGCTTTGGCTGTAGTGTGGGGGTGGGTGGGGCAAGACTGAAAGCTGTGAGATCAGTTGGAAAGCCAGTGTAGTGGTACAGGTGAGGGAAGATGTTGGCTTGGTCTAAGCTGGAAATAGTAGTGATGGAAAAATAGCAGCCACATTAGATTAAGTAGGTCTTTAAATTTGAGCCCACAGAACTTGCTAATTAATTAATTAGCCACGTAGCATAAAAGAACAATCAGGGATGACTCCAAAGGTTAAACTTAAGCAAGGGAATGGATGGTAATACCATTTATTAGAATGGAAAAAACGAACTGCAAGTTGTGTGTGTGTATGGGGGCTGGGCACATTAACTATGAGGTGCCTACCAGATATCCAAAAAGAAAGAACAACTTTGCACTGCAATACAGGACTCTAGAATACAGGACAGAAGTACAAGTCGAAGACAGAAACTCTGTCGTACAGATGGCATGTATTTTAAAATTGGTTAGTTTTGGCTTTTATCTTCATGAAAATATTCCTTTTGTTTCCCTTAATTGCATTTTTGTTACTCTAATTTCTTTTTCTTTTTTTTTTTGAGACCAAGTTTCACTCTGTCACCTGGGCTGGAATGCAAAGGCGCAATTTTGGCTCACTGCAACCTCTGCCTGTCGAGTTCAAGCGATTCTCCTGCCTCAGCCTCTCAAGTAGCTGGACTACAGCTATTATGTGCTAGTATGCATGGCTAGTTTTTGTATTTTTTTGTAGAGATGGGGTTTCAGCATGTTTCCCAGGCTGGTCCTGAACTCCTGGGCTCAAGTGATTCTCCTGCTGCAGTCTTTCAAAGTGCTGAAAGTGCAGGCACGAGCCAGCATGCCTGGACTCTACTAATTTTTTTTTTTTTATTTTAATGACAGAGTCTCCCTCTGTTACCCAGGCTGGAGTGCAGTGGCACAATCTTGGCTCACTGCAATCTCTGCCTCATGAGTTCAAGTGATTCTCCTGCCTTGGCCTCTTGAGTAGCTGGGATTACAGGTACATGCCACCATGCCCAGCTAATTTTTGTATTTTTAGTAGAGATGGGGTTTCACCATGTTGGCCTGACTGGTCTCAAACTTCTGACTTCAGGAGATCTGCCCACCTCGGCCCCCCAAAGTGCTAGGATTATAAGCATGAGCCACAGCACCCAGACTACTATATCTTTTAAAAAACAGAAACCTCCAACTTTTATTTTAAGCAAGATACCACAATTTTCCAACTAGTGGATAGCTTCTAATTATGCAAATATGTGTTGAAGAGACAGAAATTTCCCCATGATTATTATTATTATTCTTATTTTTGAGACAGAGTCTCATGCTATCACCTAGGCTGGAGCAGAGCTCAATTTTGGCTCCCTGCAGCCTCAACCTCCCCAGGTTCAGGTGATCCTCCCACCTCAGCCTCCTGAGTAGCTGGGACCACAGGCATGTGTT